GCATTTCTGGCTAGTATATTTCAGGACGAGTGGATAAGGATTGAGCCAAGAGCTTGTGTGAGCAAATCCAATTTTTTGCAGCCAATGTCAGTTACGCGGTTTTGCAGAATGACGATACGCGGTTTTGTACTTTAAACGACGATATATATATTAGAGAGCTGCAAAGTTCCCAGGCAAACTGCACTTCTTACATTCAATCGAAAAATAGGAACACATGCTTGCGGTACGCCAAAAAAAAAAGTAACAAAAGTAGAGAACATCCCAAATCATCGTAGCTGAACGATGTTACTCGACGGCGCTCTCCTTCACTAAATACGTGTTCCGCTATGCTCACATACTTAAGTATCAAGCAACCTGAACGTAGCATTTGGAAACTTCACATAGGAAGTTCAAACTGCACATGAAATTTTATGATCTCTTTATGGATTTGGATTCTACTTATAACACGCGCAGACATTTTTTTTAGAATGTGATCAGGTTTGCATTCGTTCGATTTTCAAAAATTGGGTATGATATTAAAGCGCTTGGCCTGTAGAAGTGTACTAAGGTATTTCCACCTGTGAAAATTTTTAATTAAAATTATTTAATGAGTTAAATCAGTTATTAAAGTATGTGTATAAGTATAAATTGGTTTGAAAAGGCTCCATTTCTTCATTTCGACATATGTAGGAGTGTTGCCACTCGTTTAAAAAGTCAAATTCAACTATAATTAAGGGAGTTAGGTAAATTAAAAACATACATATTTGTGTATTAAATTGTGGGTGTTCGAATACGTGAAGCAGTTTTTTGTGAACGAGTTAAGATCTGCACAGTTCTTTCGAATTTAAAAAATTAGATGTCAAATTAAGGACTTTGGTTTTATTTTTTGAAGTAAGAACTTTTTTACAGGTACAGGGTGAGTTGATGCAATAGATATCGATAACAAAACCTATAAAAATATCGATTACAAAATCGATGACAAATTCGTTAAAAATTTCGATAGCAAAACCGATAATAATATTGGTAGAAAAATCGATTAGAAACTCGATAACAAAATCGATAAATAATTGATAACAAAATCGATAGCAAAAATCGAATAGCAGATCCATAAAAGTATCGATAACAAAATCGATAAATAGTCAATAGCAAAATAGATAAAAATATCGATAACAACCCCGATAAAAATATCGAATCCAGAAAATCTCTATATTGTATTGGCAACGCTATTAAAAATATTACCTCTTGATAAAAGTGCACTGAAATGCCTTTCATTCGATAGAAGCGTTGCAAAATTTTACGCCACTTAAATATTTTATTCACTTGATTTTCAGACAGATGGCAACCCTATGTAAAAATTTGCTTTTTTCCGAAAGCGGTAAAGCTGACCTTCCAAATTGTGTTTCAATATTTAAATTTGATGTAGTATGTTATAGAGCAATGACATAAAAATACCTAAAAGAAACTCATATGGATGTATGTACATATATGTATACATGTATATATACAGGGTGTCCCATAAGTAACGTGCCAAACTTTAGGGCAAGGTAGGTGGGGGGGTGAGCTCACTGATAAACAAAAAATTTTCAGGTAAAAGTGTCACCGTTTTTGAAATATTTACATTTTTTTCGAATTTAAAAAAAATCGTGCCTTTTCATGTGTTTTCTTTAACTGCAACTACAAACCGGGCAATACTTAGTAAATTTTTTATTGTAAAATACTTCCAGATAGTTGCCTCTCCATACTCAAATGCAATGTAGTTAAAATAAATTAAGGAACCATCATAAAATTAGGACTATTTCTGGATTTTTAACTTTTTGATATTTTCTTCCCCAACTTTGACTATCTCGG